GCAGAAGCCTTTTAATAAGAAGAGATCCCACTTGTTGATTGTTTGTGCTAGTTCACAGGCAACTGAGGTTTTGTTCATAAAATCTTTTCCTACACCCAAAGACACGCATTTAAACAGAAAAATGGGCAATAAGTTCCAAAGGCACTTCACGAGAGATGAAATCCAAATGGCCAAGATATGAAAAGATATTTATCCTCTTTAATAGCCAATGAAATGGAGATGAAAGAGAGATTCAACTATATGCCCATGAGACTGGCTAGAATTAAAATATATGATACCAAACATTATTGGGGGTAAAGGATATAGAACTAGAAATCTTATACACTAATAAAAGAAATAAAAGCTAGTAAACCACTACTATGGAAATTGCTTGGCATTACTTAACATATTCCCTATGCTCCTACAATTCAAATTCTAAGTATACACCCTTGAGAAAACTATCCAAACATTCATTAGTGTATTTAAAAACAAACATTCATAAAATCATTGTTTATAGTAGACAAAAACTGTGAACAGCCCAAAAGTCTACTGTAGAATACTGAAAACTGCAGAAAACATTCATTTTAGTCTTATATTCATATTATATAACAAAAGCCCAAAAGAAAACATATACAAGGCAAATCCACTTAAAGCAAGGTCAAAAAATGAGTGAAACTATATTTTGTCAAAATAACATACCTAGAGTAAGATGGTAAGATAGGGAGATGCAAGAAGTGGAAGGCCTCTGGCATACTGTCAATTGATGTCCGTCTTGTCCCGCATGGTATTGTAAGAATATTTTATTTTTATCTTATGTGTATCTTTTCAGTACATATGGTTATTTCACAATAAAAAAGGAAAAACTCTCCAGAAGTAAAAAAAAAAAACAAACCCCAAAAAACTTAAGTAATTCTAAGAATGTTATTTAAAAAGATTAACTTTTAACTCAAAGTTTAAAAAGAGTAACATGGATCTCAACATCTGAATATGCAACTAAATCCCATTAAAAATCTTTCAACTTCAATTTGTGAGACTACTATTCACAATTTTTTTTCTTGGGGGGGGATATTTGAGACAGTCTCGCTATGTATTCCAGATTGCCCCTGAATTCACTGTGTAGCCCAGGTTGGCCTCAAACTCATGATGATCCCTCTGCCTCAGCTTCTTGAGGGCTGGGATTACAGGTGTGTACCACCATCCCTGGCTCCGAAAGGTAGAGTTTTCAGATGGCAAATTACACAACAAGTCATGGAAATTCTAAAATTTTAAGACTAAACTTCTCATTTCTAATTTTGAAATTTGAAATAAGAGTCTAGTATTGGCTGGGCAGTTAAAAAGTAGTTTTAGATTAGATTACCCTATCAAATAATATATTAAGATTTGATGCCCAGTGTGGTGGCGCATACTTGTTGTCTCAGCATTCTGGGAGGATGAGGCAGGAGGATGGAAAGCTTGAGCCCAGCCTGGGCATCCTGATGACTTTGCAAGATGTGTCTCAAAATTTTAAAAAAGGGCTGGGGATGTAGCTCTGCAGAAAGCCCTCCACTGTTAAAAAAAAAAAAAAAAAAAAGACCTGACAACTCCAGTGTTTCCAGGCATGATTAAATTCCCAAAGCTTGTTACACATTAACTCATACTGATGTATGGATTAAATGTCAACGCTGTAAATACAAATTAAATGATTAAAAAGTTTTACTACTGCATTTATATGATTAAGTTATGACACAAGGAACAAATTATGTTTTATGTCATATAAATTTATAGTTTTTTAGGTATAAAGGGTATGTTCATAGCTTTTTTTCTTAAAGACTGAAATTAGTATCTTAGAAATCTTAAAAATGTTACTGATTTGCCGGGATTCAGCTCAGTGGCGTCCCTCGAAAGCACAAGGTCCTGAGTTTGATCCCTGGTGCTGAGCAAAAAAAAATGCTACAGATTTTGCACAGCCAATCCCCTATAAGTAACTGAGTCAACAAGATTCCTTTAAATTCAGATAAACAATCCTGCTTTTTTTTTAAGTTATTAAATCACTTTAATGAGAAATACTGTTCTCAACAAGTATGCAGCTCCAGAACTTTAGAGATGCTTTTCTGAAATTCTATAAAGCCATAAAAACTTTTTTTTTGGGGGGGGTACCGGGGATCGAACTCAAGACCTTGTGCTTTCGAGGCAGGCGGCGGAACCACTGAGCAAAACTATCACCACAATACAACTGTCGAACTTCTAATACTACTCTTGTATAGCGTACAGGTTATATTTGCTTTTTTGCAATGCTAGGGATCCTAGCCACCGGGCTAGGCAAGCGCTTCACCGCCAGGCCACACCTCCATTCCCTACAGTACACAGTTCTGTTTAATTCCTTACCTAGGTGTAAGATTTGTCCCAACCTCCGTGATATTAAAAGGCCTACCAGTGCATTAAAAACAAGTCATTAAACTTGCTTGGTTACTACGAAACTACCTGCCTACCAGCCAACGACTGAAAAACATTTTACTGATTTAGAAATTTTTCCCCCTACCCTTGGACCTCTGTCTCTACCACGCTATGCAGTTCATAATAATTCTACCAGATATGCTGGAAAAATTAGCTGGATTATCTTGTTTTTTCCTCCCAAATATTACAAACAGCTGTGAAATATCCTTTAAGATCTGGAGCTAAGTTTCTTTTCTTTCTGATTTCCTGGCAGAGCAAAGGCCTAACACGTGTGAACGGAAACAAAACCCACAGACTCTAGCGATGGTAAATATATGTGTAGGGACAGGACATACCTCAACAGAATTCTATTTTTTCCGAGAAAGACTCTGCAGGGGTCGGTCAGCTCCCACTGACCACGCAGATCTGAACTGTGAAGAATCCTGGATCAAGTTTGAACCAGGCTTCCCGAAACAGGTCTGGGGGGGTGTAGTGGTGGTGGGGGCCACAGCAAGCATTTTTAAAGTGCACCCTAAACAGATGGCTGCACAAGCTTTGAGTAGGATTCCGGTTTAACAGGTAACTATCACAGATGAGACAAGGGGAATGTGATTTGCTCCAAGGTACCAATGGCATTTCGAGATCCCACGTCCTGGAGGAAATCCAAAGTTTTGGCTCATTACTTATAGTTCACTTGAGGAATACTGCAACGAACTGGAATTAAAAACTTGGAAAAAATGGGGGCTATGAAGTCAATAAATCAGCACTAAACTCAAGGCAGGAGGAAAAATTCTTTGAACACTCCGGCTTTGTTTGGCGGTTCGACAGCGGAACCACCGAATTTCAGAGTTGAAAGGCACGGATCCTGGTGTTCTCCAGCCGTTCTCAGACTTCAGGGCCGACCCGCCCGCGGCGCACTCGGTCCCCTAGTGCCCGGATTGAAGGCGCGGACCTTCAGGGTGGAACCAGGGAGCTCGGAGAGGCCGCGGCCCGGCCCGGCCCGCGACGCCGGGACCGAAAGGGAGAGAAGGAGCGCCCCCCCCCCGGAGGACGCCCGAGGGAAAGGGGGCAGGCCGGAGCGCAACGCAGCCCACTGCGAGCGCTCGGCTCAGTCACCGGCCCCGGAGGCCAGCCTCGGCTTACCTTTGGCGAGGGCTACGGTGGAGTTCTCGGTGTCGATGGTGTAGAGGATGCCCTCGTAGCGGATCTCCGCCTTAGAAATGAGACTGATCTTGCTGCCGATGTAAGGAGTGCCCCCGCTCATGGCGCCGCCGCCACTCCGGGCCGCTTGCAGAGAGGCAGATCCCACGCCGCTGTCGCCGCTCCGCACGTCCGCTCGCTCGCTCCGTCGGCGCCTACAGCAGCCGCCTCAGACCCAACATGGCGGCGTTGCCGGCTCCGCTACCCTCCCCCAGCCTCCCGCCCTCAAACAGCGGCGCGGCGCGGCGCGGCGGCGGCGGCGGTAGCGGCGGCAGCGCAGGGCAAGCTGGGCGGGCGAGGCCGCACTCTCGCGAGACTTGGACCGCGATTTGCGACTGTCTGTCTAGTCCAAGTAGTCTCGGCTATGCCGCTTGTCTGGGCTATCGCCCGAACGGAGCTTCGGAATCGGGTAGGTGGTTCAAGGCCGGTAATATCGTGGCGATGACTGGAGAAGCTCCCGTCCCTCCTTATGGCCCAGTCTGCAGCTTCTGCCATTTCTACACTTGTTGTATTTTTGTCATGACCCTTGTCTTTTTATTTTTAATTTCTTGCTGTACTGGAAGTTGAACCCTGGGGCTTAGCGTTGAAGTACATCTCTAGCCCTTTAAAAACATTTTAAGAAAATGTATTGAGACAAACAATTCTCGTTAAATTACGAGGCTAGGCTTGAATTTAGCATCTTTTTGCCACACCCAGTGTTGGTGTAAGCTCAGGTCTGTCTACCTGGAAAGTTAACGCAACCCCCTCTAGCCCACTAAGGAGTTAATGATCATTCTTTTAAGAGCCTCTCTGGGAGGTTGAGGCAGGGGTATCGCAAGTTCGAACCCAGTCTGGGCAATTCAGTAACTTAGCGAGACCCTGTCTCAAAGGATCGATGGATAGATAGATAATCAATAGATAGATTGTGGCTCAATGCAAAAGCCCTGGGTTCAAGCCCCATCACACACACACAAAAGACTGCCCTTTGCCTGCTGAGGCAGCCACACCCCTCTTAGAGTTCTCAGGGCCTTGTTGTGACATAGATCATCGCCCAAGGATCCTTCCTCTGATACCAAGCTTTTGGGGTAGGAGCTGGGACTCCCTCCCTAGGTTTCTATTTTTAGTTCTCTGTCCAGCACTTTCAGGGAGCCTGATCCAAGCTCATGGATTTCCATATTATTGTACATTGACCAATCCTAAGTAATTGGAGTTTTGGTCAATTCTGTGAACTCCAGTTTCATATAAACCATACCCTTTTCAAGCACTCCTATTGGATGTCACATTGTCATCTCAAACTGTTTCCAAACCCATAGTCTGTATTTCCCGTCTAAATTTGTTCTCTTGCAGCCATTCCCCCACTGAGGTAACTGGTAGCATTTATTCAGCTGCTCAGACCAAAAGCCTTGGTGTCACCCTTGACTTCTCGTTTACCCTCACATCGGTTCTGAACGGAAATCCTGTCTATTCCACCTATGCAATATATCCCAAATCTGACCGCTTCTCACCATCTCTATCCCTCTAACTCTAGAAGAAGCCACATTCTGTCTAGGATTATTGCAGTGGCTTCTAAGAGTTCCCTCTACTTCTTCCCTTGCCCCACCTCCATAGTTTATTGTTTAATTTTATTTATATTATTTATTCAAGACAAGGTCTTGCTGTATACCCAGGCTAGCCTTGAACTTGTGATAATCCTGCCTCTGCCTTTGCCTCCAAAGTAGCTGGGACTACAGTTGTGGATGAGTGCATCTGGCTTATTTTATTCTTAAGTAGTCAGGGGATCTTGTTCCAATCTCAGTCAGATCATGTTCCTCCTCTGTTCACTACTCTTCTCACTAACTCCATGTTACACAAAGTGAAAAACAGACTCTTTGTGTAATGACTTGGCTTCTTTTTACCTTCCTTCCCCATTCTGTTGCAGTCATCTTTTCTTCAGATAGAGATTTCACACTTCATTCCAGTCTCTGGTTAAATGTTACCTCCAGAGATGACATTTAAGTGTTTCCAGGTAGGGCTGGTCACTGCTGTATCATCATGGTCTTGTTCAGCACCTGGCACGGGCAGCTGCTCAGCAAATATTTGCTGCATGAATGAATAGTTGTATGAAAGCAGAGTACTGTAGAGTCAGGATGTCTGGTGAGCTGAGTGGACAAATGGTGAGAAGCCTGTTACAGAGCTGGGGAAGCAGGAGAAAAACTGAAGAAGCTGTGATGGAGTTGGTGCACAGTGTCTTCAAAGGAAGGCTAGGAAATCCCTGGTTCAGTATAAAGTCATTGCCAACAAGTTGAATTGTTTGTTTTTTCTTAACTATCCTAGGCCTATGACCCAAGTTACCTTCATGTGTTTCCTTAGTGAGCTCAATATTTTCTATGATCAGTTTCTGTAAACTGGTCATTCCCAAAATTACATCTCCTTTCCACATCTTCTGATTATCAGAGTCACATTTACTATGTAGTATGGGTATTTTTTGTTTTTGTTTTTGAGTTTCATTATGTAGCTCAGGCTGGCCTTGAACTCACCATTTACTGAGGCTAGCATTGAATTTATGGTAATCCTCCTGCCTCAGCCTTCCGAATGCTGGGGTTACAGGCATGTACCACCAGAACTGACCTTCGTGTTTTGTTTGTTTGTTTTGTGGTATTGGAGAGTTGAAGCTAGACCCACATATGTGCCCGGCAAGTGCTCTGCTGCTGGGCAAGTGCTCTGCTGCTCCCAGCCCTGATTATATAGTATATGGAATTGCTTGGGTGTCTGCAAGCACTTCCAACTCAACATGTGCAAAATTACTGCATCTACAAGTACTTCTCTTGTCCTCCTAAATAAGCTGTTCTTTTGCTTGTTTGTTTGTTTGTTTGGTTTTTGGTACCAGGGATCGAACTCCGGTCCTCAGCTTTCGAGGCAGGTGGTGGAACCACTGAGCTAAATCCCCAGCCACTAAATAAGCTATTTTTTTAATCCATGACCGCTAGCCCTGTCAAGGGCCCCAGGACTCACCCATCTGTGTACTATAGTTTGGATATAGTTTGTGTCCTCCGATGATTCATCTGCTACAGCAATATTGAGAGGTGGTGGAACCTATAAAAGATGGCGTGAGCAGTGGCTGATGGAGAAGATGTACGAAACACGTGCCCCTCACGTGTGCCTTGATGTGGCGGCTGCTGTTCATAATTCATAAATTGTCTCTGCGCACCTTAGCCTTTGGCCACACTGAATTGCTTACCATCCAGAACAAATGTCTTACTCTCCCTTCTGTAATTATCCCTTCATCTCCTACATGATCTGAAAAGCTCTGTATCCCATCTCCATTTGCAGGCGAGATTAAAAGTCCCCCTCACATCATTGACAAAAATCCAGTGACTTAGCAAGGCATACAAGTGCATGCCTGTAATCTTAGTACTCTGGGAGGCTGAGACAGGAGGATCACAAGTTTGAGCCCAGCCTGAGCAACTTAGTGAGAACTTGTCTCAAAGTGAAAAATAAAAAAGACTGGTGATCTGGTGATGGAGTCAGCTGGAAGACCCTGGATTCAATCTTTCATACTGCAAAAAAAAAAAAAAAAAATCCAGTGATTTAAAACAATTATCATCTCATATATCTCACAGTCTTGAGTCTGAACTTTTTTTTTTTTTCTTGGTACCGGGGATCAAACTCGGGACCTTGTGCTTCCAAAGCAGGCGGTAGAACCACTTAGCTAAATCCCCAGCCCGCTCTCACAGTCTTATAGGTCAGGAAATTGACCAAGGCTAAATCAAGCAGTTCTTCTCAATGTCACATCAGTTGGGGTCACTAGGTGGCAGCTTGCTTGGTGTAGAGTCCAAGATAGCTTTGCCAAAAAAAAAAAAAAAGAAAGAAAAAGAAAAAGTCTAGACAAGTGTATTAAAAATATGTTAAAGAAGTTAATATGCTCCCATCCCCCTATTTTCTGTCACTGACACTCAAAGCCTAAAGGAGGAGAGCTTTATTTTTGGCTTACAGTTTCAGAGGTTTCATTACATGGAAAACTGGCTCTAAGGCAGAGAAATCAAGGTGGAAGGGCGAGGTGAAGGAATGCTGCTCACTTCTTGGCAGCTGGAAACAGACAGCAAGGTAACAGTGACAGAGACAAAGGAGCCAGGAACCAGATATAGTCCCAGGATCGCACCTCCATGACTCCACACAGACAGACCAGAAGTGGGCTTCATTTATTCCTAGGCAGCTGCCAAGCCAATCAAATTGGCAATGAAGATTAATGGTCACAGCTGGCACACACCTGCAGTTCTAGCACTGGGGAGGCTGAGGCAGGAGGATTGTGAGTTCAAAGTAGGCCTGAGAGGCATAGAAAGACCCTGTCTCAGTGAAACAGATAAACCAATTGATAGTCACAGCTTTTAATCTCTTTTCATTTATGAAATCTAGTCCTCTTATCTAAAATTTTGTTACTTTAGGTTATTTTCTGATATCTATGAAAATAAATATTACATCTATCCATTTCTTCCCCTCTTCATAAAGTAGAACTCATGATCTGTTGTGATCTTTTATAATTTAATTGGAAGTAGAATTGGAGATTCTTGACCATTTTCACATCCAGTAGTGATATGTCTATTACATCCCAGGGAGGGGCTTGTATCCAGGTTTTTCCTCCAGAGTTGGAATGCTGGTCCTTTATTAAGTAACATATGATGTTACTTAATTTAGAAGCCATGAATTTAGAAGCCATGTGTTTTTGGGAAATATATTCCTTCAAACAATAGAACCAGTCTTTTTTTGGAAGGAAAATAGACTGGGGATTGAACCCAGGGCCTTTGCATTGAGCCACATCCCCAGCCCTTTAAAAAAATTTATTTTGAGACAGGGTTTCATTAAATTGCTAAACTTGCGATTGCTCTGCCTCAGCCTTCCAGGAGTGCTGGGATTACAGGTATGTACTACCACACCCGGCAACAGAACCCTTCTGATTGCATGAGATGCTCATTATGTGAGAAACATACCAAAGCTGAAACTAATGGTTCTATTTTGAAAACACATCTTATCCTTCATTTGCTCTGGGTGCAAGTGTATGTGCATTGTGTAGAATTGCTACTGATTTCTCTCGTGTACTCTTCAGAGTGTGATCATGGGACTCACACGAAGGGACTGATAATATGTCATTTTCTGCCTTTTTTTTTTTTTGGTACTAGGGATGGAACTCAGGACCTTGTGCTTTCCAGGCAGGCGTGGTGCCACTGAGCTAAATCCTCGGTT